TACACCCCCCCATCCCACCCCCAATTGAACACTGAGGGCAGCCCTCCTCAAAGTCCTGTTTTCTTCACTCTGAGGAGTAAGGGAAGCTGACAGGAGCATGTGCTCCTGTCGGCCTCCCACAACGTAGACGCGGCTTGGCTTAAGGTAAGGTGAATCCAGCTACGCAAAATGTGCAGCTGGATGGTGTACCTTAAGCCAACCTGCCAGGTCTATTGTAGACCAAGCCTTAGAGACTAACAAAGGTATAGGATCATGAGCTTTTGTGAGTAAAACCTGATGAAATGGGTTTTACCCACAAAAGCTCATGATCCTATACCTTTCTTAGTCTCTAAGGTGTGTCTACACAGCAGTGCTTAACTCCAAATAAGCTATACAAATTGAGCTATGTCAATTGCTTAGCTTATTTTGAAATAGCTTATTTCAGGGTTTGGTGCTATCTACACAGCACTTATTTCGAAATAGAGCACTCTTCCTCCAACTTCCCTTACTCCTCATAAAATGAGGGTTACAGGAGTCGGAGTAAGAAGTCCTCCAGCTTGACAGTAGTTCAACATTATATTGAAATAACTGCTGGCTCTGTAGATGCAGACTAAGTTATTTTGAAATAATGCTAGTTATTTCAAAATAATCTTGCTGTGTAGACATAGCCTACTGGTGCATCTACACTGCACCTTTAACTTGAAATAAGCTATGCAATTTGTGCTATGCAAATTGCATAGCTTATTTTATGATCATTTCAAAATAAAGCTCTATTCCAAAACATCCCTTAACTCCTGTGGAATGAGGTTTACAGGGATGTTGGAATAGCAAGCCCGTTATATTTTGAAATAATGGGCGTGCTCAAAAGACACAAAATAGATACTTCTGGTATCCCGAAATAGCTCCGCAATGTAGACATAGACTAAGATACCACAGGGACTATGCTTTGTTTTCATTTTATGTTTGGCAAAGGTTACAAGTAATTGTTACTTTATTCAAATAGCAGGCAGTTAACTAAGCAGTGGTTGAGATTTACAAGTGCTCATCAAGCACAATTAGGGCCAGATTTAAAAAAAAAAAATCAGCACCCAGCAGCTCACATTGGCACACTATGAGAGTTGTGCTTTATTTTTAAAAAACCTGACCCACAAGTGTTATTTGAATGGTTATCAAAAAACTGAGCTAACGCCATTAATTGGGAGCAAACAATTCAAAAGAAAAATACTGTTGCAGTGTTTCCTGTAAGTGCTGTATTACTGTATTTGTGATCACAATGCAACTATGGCTTTTCAGCTTGTAATCTTTGTGATCAAGTCAGATACAGTTTATGGCACTGTAAAAAGAAGTTGATCTAAAAGAAGAACTTCCTCTATTTTATTTACAAAGACAAAGTAACTAGGAATCATTCTGCTAATTGTGCTGTCACTTCAGGATACCTAGTTGCCTCTTTTTTCCACTAAAGCCACTTAGACTAGAAATGCCAGAGCATATGAAATTTTGCTTTTTAGAATATCAAGCTTACTTCTCCAACATCCTAAAACGTGATGCTTTAAAACCTAAACATTTTTATTGGAGCCCAGTTGTTGCATTCAGCAGTTTTGATAACAATATTCAGCAACTATATATACACACATGCACTGTTTTAGAGAGGTTTCTGCTATATAAAAGCTTGATGCCTTTGTGACAATATAGATATGGAGCTATAGATATATCCATCCAGTTTATAATATACATTTTGAGTTAGTTTGTAATAAATATATCCTTCTTTCATAGTTGTCACAAAAGCATCAAGCTTATAGACTGCAGAAACCTTTACAAAACAAAGTTCAGGGATTGCTTTTTTTGTTTTTATTGAACTAGATCCTTGTTTAGAAACAATAAACATGCTTAATTAAACCTCACTCAGCTACAATATACTGTGGCTTTGTCTACACTACACGTTTTTGCGGCAGAAAATATGCTAATGAGGGACTCATTAGCATATTTTCTGCCGTTTCTTTTTGTGCAAGGGGTTTTTGCGCAAAAAGAAGCAGTGTAGCCACATCCGTTTTGCACAAAAACCCCGTTTTGTGCAAGATTCTTATGCCTCTCCAGAACAGGCATAAGAATCTTGCACAAAACGGAAGTGGCTACACTACTAATTTTTGCATAAAAATCCCTTGCGCAAAAAGAAATGGCAGAAGATATGCTAATGAGTTCCTCATTAGCATATTTTCTGCAGCAAAAACTCGCAGTGTAGATGTAGCCTGTAAGTATAAACCCTCATTCAGAGATGTGCGGTCTCAACCTGCTGCTAAATACTGCTTATGTTTATAAATATGACATTTATTTCTCCTAATTCTCCTAATTTAATTTTAGGAAGCAGCTTCATCAGTGGTAAATTTAGTTCTTCACAAAGGCTTGAAAAAAACTACAGCTCACATTGGAAGGTAAAGCCATTTTTGCAACTTGGGATTTTTAAAACAGGTGAAATTCTTTTCTGTAGAAATAACTGCAGTGTAGTGAGGATTTTAAGATAACGGGTTTAAAAAAAAGATACTGATCTCATTTCATGACATTTAATTTCATAATTATCTGAAGGGAATCATTACAAAGCCACATACACTTGATGTGATTAGCAATCTCTGCTTAAGAGAGAGCTAGCTGTGAAAAAAAGAGGTTCTGTAATCTACAAGCAGATGCACTGAGCCCTGGTGTATTCTAGGGCTTTATTTTTAAATAAGCCCTCTTAGGTTAAATTTATAAGCAGAGCATCCACACTACCAAGCCTGTTATTTCAAAATAACAGGTCACTTATTTTGAAATCTGAACTTCTGCTTTTCTCAGGGAGTAAAGCTAATTTTGAAATAATTATTTTAAAATAGCATTAGTGTGGATGTTCCAGTGCCATTATTTCAAAATAACCACTCACCAGAGTAATTTGAACTAATTACTCCCCTGTGCTTCCTAGGGCTCTAAGTGAAGGTAGCATGTCCTCATTAACAGAGCCTGCATCAGATTAATTTCGAGGTATCCCCATAGTGAGACACAGTATTTCAATTTTGTAAAATCAGGAGTTGAATTTAGTTATTTAGAAATAATAGTAGCCTAATGTCTGTGACTCTGTAATGCTAAAACGCTGGCTGTTCCCTCTGGGTGGCGCTGTTGCCTCCCGCCGTGGCGCTCGACTGACTTCTGCGCCGCTCAGCTGGGCCGCCACATGGGAGCAAGCGGCACAAGCAGCAGTTGGGGCCCCGCGCTTCCCATGCAGCACCCCCATGCTACATGGGGAGCGTGGACCCTAAACGGCTGCTTGTGCTGCTTGCTCCCTCATGGTGGCCCGGCTGAGCAAAACAGAAGTCAGCCGAGCGCCACGGCGGGAGGCAACAGCGCCGCACAGAGGGAACAGCCACGGGGCGGGGCCTAGACGAGTGTGTGTCTCTGACGTCAGGAAAGGGCGCTGGATTCAAAAGGAGGAAAGCGAAGCAGACACAGAGGACGCGGAGGAGACAGAGGAGAACGGAGGAGGCGGAGGACAGCAAGAGAGAGAGTGAGAGAGATGCAGCAGGAAGAGGAGAAGAGAAACACAGAGTGAGAGGTGGGAGGGGGAGAAGAGAAAGAGAGAGATGGAGAGAGAGGCAGAAGGCAGAGGAGAGCTGAGAGAGAGGGGGGGAGGCAGTAGGAGGCGGAGAGAGAGAGAAAGAGACACGGAGCAGGAGACCAGAGGCTCAGGAGAGAAGACGGATGTGGAAGAGAGACCTGAAAAATCCCATCTTATGACGGGCTAATTGGCTAGTTTAAAAATAGTTTCCTAGTGTAAACATACCGTCGGTGAGTTTGTTCAACACCTACCTGTGCTATGCTGCCTCTCACCATATCTATTACCTCTTCACTTTTCTATGCATTAAATGTACACAAGTCTACTTACAATTTGGTGTACTTTGATTTGCAATTACTAAAACTCCATTTCAAGGGGGATATAATGGACTTTCTCCTGTATGTAAAATACTAAGTCAGGTAGGAGAACTTTTGTAATATTGTATGATTTTGCTTTGAAGAGAATATTATTCACTGATTTTATTGTTCATTTCAGAGATGCTGACTATAAATGCTTAATTACATTCCTTTTCTTTCACTGATTTTGGTTCATTAGTATGACGACACGTGAACCCAAGTTAGAAGTTTAAATAATAATACCCATTCTATTAATGTATCTTTTTCTAAGCTTTGGGTACCATGCCTTGCTTGTTAATGGAATTACGTACCTATGTGCCACAAACAACACCTTAGACAGCACAGTACCATTTGCCTTTCTTAAAGAGGTAAGAACAATTTCAGAATATTTTGATGCAAGTTTAATCAAAGCCACTGAATTGTTAATATTTTGCAACGTTCCATTCTTGCCCTTTGGTCTACATTGATTATTACATGCACTGGAAGGTCTGGAAGGTCAATGTGTGTCTGCTTTCTTCAGCTTTATAAATAAAAAGTATTGCTTCATGTAATACATATAACATTCCTGTCCCTGTAATTAAAAGGTCTTGGTTATGTTATAGAAATACTGTTACATGTCCTGCAGTACCAGCTTTAGGTTTAAGAGAGTCTCTCGTGACACCATTATCATAGCAGATGGCTGTGTCTAGACTGGCAAGTTTTTCCGCAAAAGCAGCTGCTTTTGTGGAAGAACTTGCCAGCTGTCTACACTGGCAGCTTGAATTTCTGCAAGAACACTGACTTCCTACTGTCTGAAATCAGTGCTTCTTGCGGAAATACTATGCTGCTCCCGTTCGGGCACAAGTCCCTTTTGCGCAAAGCTTTTACGCAAAAGGGCCAGTGTAGACAGCTCAGATTTGTTTTGTGCAAAAAAGCCCCGATCGCGAAAATGGCGATAGAGGCTTTTTTGCGCAAAAGCGCATCTAGATTGGCACGGACACTTTTCCACAAAAGTGCTTTTGCGGAAAAACGTCCGTGCTCTTTTCTGCAAATGCTTTTAACAGAAAACTTTTTTCCATACAATATTTTTAAATTTCTGCAGAAATATTATGGCTACCCACATCCATGCATTTGTGCAGCCTAATGTTTTTTAACTATGCAAATTCACCTATAGTAATTATGTTGGCTTTGACTATTTAGATTTTCAGGGCATCATGAACAAATGTTAACAATTTTAAGATGTTAATGTGGTACATTTTATTTCAGTTATGTCAAGATAATTCCTTCATTACTTTTTCCAGATTTGCAAAGCTTTCATTAGTAGTCCCTTTATATCACAAGTGACCTTTGCTCATCCTTTTGAATTCAATGCAGATTTTCAACAAGTTCTGGGAAAATACATGGTAGGTGATTCTCTAAAATGTATTAAATCAAGTTTACTTTTGGACGGCTACACAAGGCTTGAGAAAGGACCATTGATAGTCTACCTTGGCAGAGCACGCGCAAGGGGAAAAGAATTCACAAACATTTATTTAGGTATCTGATCTCTCAATAAAAGAACTATTGTCTTTCTTTGCCAGAACAGTAAGTTATTGTGGTTATTATATTAATATATATGCACACACATTTTTTGTCTAGAAAAACTAGTTAATATTTTACTAGAGTAACTAGAACTTTAAACAGTCCTTTTCCACTGCGTCATCTGATCATACACACGTCTTACAAAAAACAGAGAAAGAGAGAGAAGTGTGCATTGTAAGTATTTAAAATCTAATCTTTGGGGTGTGCTTTGAGTAAAACAGAATTACTGTATGATCAGTGTAGTAAAAAAATTAAGTAGTTGGGGCAATAAACTATTAGAAGGTTTTAAATAAGCAATGTGCTGCAGACAGGAGAAGGTATGATCAGTACCAATGTAGTGAAAGAAACATTAAACAAACTCAAAGTCTGTTGTTACTTTCAAGGGAGATTAACGGTACCTAGCATGCTTAGAAATAGATTCTCTCCTATTGTGTTGTGCAGGTAACATTTTAAAAATTGTACTCCTCTCACGCTCCCACAATAAAGAAACTTATTAATTTGTTAAGTTTTCTAAATATAGGGTGCTTGTCAAGTATTGCACAGTCCCTAAAAGAGTACTTGATGCAAGTTTTTTAGTATGTGAATACATGAAGATACAGTGTGGAGTTTTTACTGTTGTTACACAGTCTCATAATTCGTTCTTTGTTAAATTGATCACATGTTCAGCACAGTGGCATTGTCATGTCAGCAGGTAAAAACTAGCGTAGAGGATTTGAAATTCTGGAATTCCCACTCTGAGTTCCTACCTTATTCCACTATTGGGGTTAGGGACTTCAAATTTATGGATTCCACATGTTCTTTATAGAGGTCCTTATGGTATGTGTAGTGCATTTTGGCCTTGGTCCTCCCCCCACTCCCCTACCCTAGACTCTATGGCTGCAAGGCTTCCTACCTGCTCCCACCCCAAATGCACTTTGAAAGCTTCAGCTAGAATATATAAATAGGGCACTACATATGCTAGTTAAGAGATCAGCATTATTTTACACAAAACTGGGGGAAGAAAGGTTCTAGATAGTATCTTACCTTCCCATAAGCCCACTGAGTGATTAGTGCCAACCCTGCCAGTTTCACCAGGAGTCTCCTGGAATCAGGCTCTATACCTCAAAGGCTACTTAAGCTAAACTGAGAGATCTTAGGCCACTAAACATTTGGAGGTGCAGCAGGACTAAGGCAGACTCCCTGCCTGCCATGCGTGCTCTGGGAAGTGGTCCACATGTCCTTGTAGCCCTGGAAGAGAGCTGGGGGTCTCCATCACTGCCTCTGCCCCCCACTGACTCCACAGCTCCCATTGGCCAGCAATTACAGACTGCAGTGAGTGAGGATGAGTGACAGAGGGTGGGATGATGGAGAGAGAGGGACAAGACAGGGTGGGATACCAGCGTTTGGCTTGGTGTGATAAGACAGTTGGCAAGTGAAAGTGTAACTGTGTATGTACACGGTTAACCTATGACCCGGGGCTCGTCAGTTAACCTTCACGGTTACACACAGGCTCCTGGTGTGAGAGGCAGCAGCATCATTGGGGTGGTAGGTAGGGGCACAGATGGGAACTGACTGCCGCCTCACATGTAACCGCTGAAATTTTCAGCGGTTTCATGGTTACTTAATTACACCCACTTTAACCTCCCTATTGGCAACCCTTTGAGTTATTTCTACAGAGATAGAGAAGAAGGGCCATATGGAAGAGGGGATGGAAAGGCCTAAGTCCCCTCCATTCTAGGAATTAGGACAATCTAGCCCTTTAATTTCATCATCCAAAACCCCAGCTGTTTAACAGAAACCTATTTACATTTTTTATTCAAAACAAATGTTCATGTAAGAATGCAGCAATAGGCTTGCTTTTTGAAAACTAAGGCATGCAAATATAGGTTAGGATGAAGTTGGGAACATGTTAGTTTTAATGACCTCAACATATATTGCCATGTATCAGTATTTGCTTGTAACTCCGTGTTTATTGTATTACTGGAAAAAACATTGGGAGCCCTCTAGTGACCAAAGTCATAGAATCTCAGTTCTGCACATGCCTAACTTTAAAAGCATCAGTAGCCCCATTGAGTTAAATTCATCTTCTCACGTGCCTAAACTTAAGCACATGCCCCAGGTTCCAATCCTGTAATTAACTCAATGCAATCAAATTCCTTCTCCCCCACAGATTACCTGCAAAATCAATGGAGTTCCATGGTTGTCAATTTTGTTTGGATGCATTCCTGAAACCTTCATCACAATCTTTAATTAAAGATTGATCGTTAATTCCAGAAAACTCTAGAACAGTCCCGGAGTGCTGGCAACCCTGTCTCTATACAAATACAGGGATCTGTCTATAGAGTGTTTCGGGTTTGGGTCTAAATCTGAATACTATTTAGAATAGCTATCAAGACCGAGCCAAAAAAATAAATGGTAGAAATCAAAAGTTTTCAACACTTCTCTTACTGGTCATCCCAAAAGAGAAAGCACAGCTTTCTCTGAACTTGGAAGTGGCCAATTCTAAAATTTGATTAAAAGAGCTACCTCTTGTAATACAATCATATTAATGACTTCTTCCATGTGATTAAAATTAAGTTACTACAGGAATCACACTAAAATCCATTAAATACCAGTTAGAATATATGGCTTCTAAAATGTCTCCTAGACCAAGACAGGTTGAATTCCTCCCTGAACATTGCTCTCAGACAGCTTGGAGCACTGTTCATTACCACAAGCTTTTCTTACCAAAGTAAATTGGGACACAAAACTCTCCTACTTTACTGCAGAGAGAGGGGAAAAAACATTCTCTGCAAGACCTGGAGAAACAATCAAGCTCTGTGGTCAGGGTGTGGTGGACACTGGAATTCTGGGTAATTCTGCTCTCACAGGCCAGGGCTTGTTGACACTTCATTTTGTAAAGGGGAGCAATCTAACGCAGCACTAAAAGCAATGCTTTGCCAAACATGTATTTTGAGCCTGCTTATTCTGTGGAAGTGAGGGAAGTTAGGGTTAGAAAACACTGATGTCCTATTCTTTTGGTGCAAGTATTAGATGAAAGGGTATAATAGTCATGTGGAATGTAGAAATTGTCAGATGGTTCCATTTTTTCATCTCTGATCAAAAGGAAATTATGCAGCTGCAACTATTGTTCTCAGAAAGTAGCAAATGATGCCCTCTCCTCCCCTCATCTTCCCTACAGCTTTGGGGTTAATTATGATGGTTTTTTTTTTTTTTTTACTTTCTATTTTTTTAAATAACATTCAATGGTTGAGGCAGTTCCTGGCAGGGATTAATGACCAGTAAGTAGTGGAATGCTGGGTACTGGTGAGGTGCTACAGTTCAGCACTTGGAGCTGCTAAAATTCTGCAAACAGTCGATCTTGGAATTCTAGGTGGGGCTCTGTCAGAACTACTATATTCCAACTACACCCAGTACAGGGAAATTACATAATAAAAGATCAAGAAAAGAAAGTAAAAACAGGGTGTGTATTATCTAAAGACATTTTAATCATTTAGTTTCTCTCTTAATAAGGACTATTACTGAATTATCCTGATATGAATGGGGGGAAAAACAGTGCATCAATAGCTGACTTAGGACCATGTTTCCTCCTGTACTGGGGTGGAGATACAAGACATAAAATCAATAGCAACCCCCAGTGGACTTTGTGGAACAGTATTTTGCTAAATCATTGACCCCTGTGTTTCTGCAATCCAGAAGGAGTCGGATCTACTAGATTAAAAAAATGGTAAAAAAAGTTAACAGTGCAGAGAAGACTGAAGCGTTGTGTTAAAGAATTACTGCTTCCTCCGCTTAAAGGTGTCAAACAAAGGATATTTAAGCATTGTGGTTGTCTTATTTTTCTCTTTCCTCTATAAAGGGCCCGAAGGCTTTTTCTTTTTCTTTTAAGATCATGGATGGAACGTTTCTGTTTTTCTTACTCAAAAAAAAAATCAGGAAATCATGTCTAGTCTTGCTGGAAAATTTAGAATATGGTGAACTTAATACCTGGAATCAAAGGAGCTTGCCTGTTGATTTAAGATATCCTTTCTGTGGCTGACTTGCAGCACCCTCCCCACATCAATAATTTAAAGAAAGATCAGGAGGGGTTATGTATCATAAAAAGTAAAAATAGTCATGAACACAGTATCTTTTTTCCCCCAAGGAAGATATCCTATAAGCAGTTGGATAACTTCATAAGGGTACATGTACACAGCAGGGCTAAAGTCTAATTAAGCTACATCAGCTTCAGGGGATAGCCAAGTTAGTCTGTACAGGTAAACTGAAAAAATAATAAATAGTCTGGTAGCACTTTATAGACTAACAAAACATGTAGATGGGATTGTGAGCTTTCATGGGCACAGCCCACTTCTTCGGATGACCAGTGTTTTGGATGTCTAGGACCAAAATAAATAGGGGAGATGGGGGGAGGAGGGAGACAAGAAAAGGCAGTGGGTAAAAAATATATATCAAGGGAAAGCCGAGTCTATAAGCACCTAAAGACTAGATAGTCAAAGGGGGCAGATAATGATTTTTTTTTTACCCACTGCCTTTTCTTGTTCCCCCCTCTCAATTTTCCCTTCTTCCACCCCCCTTCCCGTCCCCCCTCTCAATTTTCCCTTCTTCCACCCCCCTTCCCGTCTCCCCTATTTATTTTGGTCCTAGACATCCAACACTCCATTCATCTTAAGTGGGCTGTGCCCATGAAAGCTGACGATACCATCTACATGTTTTGTTAGTCTATAAAATGCTACCAGACTATTTGTTGTTTTTTCAGTTAAGCTATATCAATTGCACATCTTAAATCAAAAAGCTTAATTTGGCAGTTTTGAAAAACTCAATGAGTGTGGAGCTTCCACATTTAGTCAATTATACCCTCACCTGTCCTCATAGGGCATGTCTACACAGCAGGAAGTTAAAGGGAGAACACTCCTTCTTTCGATTTTCCTTTCTCCTCATAAAATGAGGGTTACAGGAGGTGGAGTAAGAAGTCCTCCAGCTCGACATTATTTCAAAATAAAGGCTTGTAGTGTAGATGCACACTATGTTATTTCAGAATAACATTAGTTATTCCGAAATCACATTGCTGTGTAGACATGCCCTATGGGGACAGGTGAGGGTATAATTGACTAAATGTGGAAGCTCCACACTCATTGGCTACGTCTACACTGGCACCCTTTTCCGGAAATGCTTAAAACGGAACAGTTTTTCCATTATAAGTATTTCTGGAAAAGCGCGTCTACATTGGCAGGATGCTTTTCCGAAAAAGCACTTTTCCCGGAAAAGCGTCCGTGCCAATGTAGACACGCTTTTCCGGAAAAAAGCCCCGATCGTCATTTTCATGATCGGGGCTTTTTTGCAGAAAAGACTACTATGCTGTCTACACTGGCCCTTTTCCGGAACAGTTTTTCCGGAAAAGGACTTTTGCCCGAACGGGAGCAGCATAGGTTTTTCTGGAAAAACACTGACAATTTTACAGTAGATCGTCGTTGCTTTTCCGGAAAAGCAAGCGGCCAGTGTAGACACAGCCATTGAGATTTTCAAAACTGTAGGATAAATCTTCACAAGTGATGTTAATTGGAGTTGCACGACTAAGGCCCTGTTCTGGGAGATAGTGCTCCACAATTGGAGGCTGAGTTTTGTGTTGTCAGCTGTTTTAATTATTGAAAGTTGGTAAAGTTGGATCTGTAACAAAAACCCTTACTTTCTTCTATGCAGATGGAATACAATAGGAAGTCAGGCAATATTACAGTTTCTACTCTCCAAATTCAAGTTGATGATGTAAAAAATGTTATGACTCAAAATATTGATAAGGTATTACAAAGAGAAGAAAAGTTGAGCGAGCTTGTTGACAGAACAGATGATCTCCAAACAGTGGTAAATTATATGACTTTTCATTCTACTTAGGTATTTAGCTAACCCTTCTATTTCTCTACAGTTGTTTTACAGCTTTTATAGCAGTCTCTGTATTTGAGTAACTGTGTGGCATTTTCAGACATGTTTCAGTACTTGAGGAACTTATATTTCACTCATTGCTTTTAGGCCCAGATTCTGATCACAGAGGCATGTATGTATTATTCTGATAGCCATACCTGTGGAAAGATTTGGCCATTAGAGCTAAATCAGAGCCACAAAGGAAACAGACTCAGCAGCACTGCAATGCCTACGTTTTAGGCACACTGCCACCAAGTAGAATCCACGCCATGTTAGGTGATAAGACTTACCTATACAATGCATGGGGAGTTAGGCATGTCTGAATGAGATTCACACAAGCCACCACGGCATTGGGATCTGAGCAGGGAGCCAACTAAACAAACGAACAGGAAATGCTGAGGAGAGGAGTAAGGCCTGTGAGCACATTAGTAGATTGAGTCTTCCAGGTGGATAAGTGGAGGAAGCCCAGGCTGAGGATCTCACTAGGGCTTAAGTAGCTTTGCGCATGCCAACTGGCAGAAATGTAGGTGTCTGTAGGGTTAGGTAGCAGCTGAGTAGGAGTCTTAAGAATCTAGATTTTGAACTTAAGTGCCTAAATCCCTTTGGATCTCGCCTTTATTAACTATAGGCCCAATCCTGCAACTGGATCAATACAGGTGGATCCTTGTGCCACACAGAATGGAGAGCCACTTGCAAAGAGTCTGGTGAAGGAACTGGGCTTGACCAAAAATTAGTCTCTACTGCTAATGGAGGACTAGACCTGTTTTTCATGGGTAAAGAGCATGTTACAAATACCAACAGTTATGATACATCTTTATAAGAGTAGAGCGGTTACACTAAAGTACTAGCATGCTGTTGTGGAAAACCCAACTTTTGCATCTTCCCAGTCAGGTTGAATATGCACACAGCTAAGTAGTTGGAGTTTTGTCTAAATAGACAGGAAGAGGTAAAAATGAGAAGCCAGGAGCAAATTAGAGAGCAACGTAAGAGCTTAACTGTAGTGCTCACAGTAGGAGCTTCTGACGTTCTGTGGAACTCTATCCCTAAAATCCTCCAGTAGATTATCAAGTGTTCTATTGTCTGGCAGTTTATAAACATCACACTACTATTACATTGGCTAGCAATGGCCTGAGACCAGGAACCCGTTTCTATCAGCCTCTACCACTGTCGTTTACAAATAAACTCATTTTGTTGATGCTGCCTAAGATCAGAGTTATTGGGAGCAGTGGTGCAGGAACACTTAATAGTGGGGTGCTGAAAACCAGCCCTCTTGCCCATGTCTGCTCTCCCCAGCTGGGGGTGAGCACAGGGATCAGGGCTAGTAGCTGGGACCTCAGGCATGGGATATGTAGGGGAGCCCTGGCTAAAACCTGCAGCACTCCCATAGCTCTTGTTCCCACACCTATGATTAGAAGAGGAAATGAAAACCTTCTAAGCTTTGTCTCTAACCTTCATTTTGACTTACATTTACCCTTTACATCAGGATGGGGAACTTTTTTTGGGTCGGGGGCCGCTGACCCACAGAAAAATCAGTCAGGAGGAAGGCAGTGGGGGTTGGAATGCCAGGGCGGGCTCCCTGATGCTGGGGTGGGGAGGAGCCCCGAGGGCTGCATCCAGACAAGCTGTGGACCACATCTGGCCCTTGGGTCTTAGTTCCCCACCCCGATTTACACATACCCATTCTCTCCTTACCTGATGGCCAGCAGTCACAAGTAGGAAGATAGAAGGGATTGTAAAAAAGTAATGTGAATACTAGTCATGTTGTCACGTTAAAATAGTATAAAGTGATATGATGCATTTTTAAAAAACATGAACTCAATTAATTGAATTAACAGTTCATATCCATGTATAGCATAGAAATGTAAATATACTAATAGGCCTACTTTTTCCACCACCACCAAGAGTCTTCCAGGGATGAAATTCCACAGTTCATAAAATAGCATTAACTTTACATTTTAAGTATAAATCATCTACATCCTGAAAACATTTAATATATGATTTAATCTTGTGTGATGATGCTGGGAAAATCCAGTTCCTGAAACATTAACTTCATCTTTGTCATTTTGTTTTCAGGCTCATGCTTTCCAAAAAAACACCACAAAGATTTCCAGGAAGATGTGGTGGAAAAACACTAAAATTATGATAATTATTGGAGTTGTTCTCGTTATTATTTTAATGTTTATCATTCTCCTAGCTACAGGTGTTATTCCAACAAACTTTTGAACTTTTTTACCAAGCATGAAAATTTTATAAATTGTATTTAAAACTTATTTTAGAGCACAAATATTTATGTTTTGTCAACTGGATATTGTTCAAAAACTACTGAAACATTAGCCTCTGGTTGCTTGCATTCTTTATATTATTAATATGCTATAGTCTCTACATCCAAAGGGAGTGAGTGGCAAGTCATTTTCTCCACTCTTAAGAGAGTGAAAATTGCAGAGAGGTTAAGTGATGTTTATACCACATGCTGTAATTATGGACTGGACTAGCTCACATGCATACATGAGTAATGGAGAATTTTTACTGTATGGAGTGTTAACTCTTCCCTAGTTATTTTTCCTGTACTAAAAGAACATGCATATTAAAAAGGGAATTGCAGTAACTATTTTTCTTCCCCTCTCCCTACTTCTTGTCTAGCACTCTAAGGCTATGTCTACACTGCCTTTTTTTTCGGCAGAAGATATGCAAGTCACACTCATTTGCATATCTTCCACAAAGGATCCACAGAAGATATGCAAATGAGAGCTCAATTTCCATATCTTCTGCTGAAAAACCCCCAGCAGTCTAGACATAGCCTAAGCGTAGAATTGAACATAAAGGTCATGCATGCATACTGTTCTTCTCTTAAACAAAAGATGAGGTTTTTTTTTTTTACGAGATAAGCTTTGCGGATAAGGGCGAAGCAGTGTATCTCGATGTTAGCAAGGCATTTGGTGCAGTCCAATGAGCTAATGAGACTCAACAGCATGACACCATTGTGGGGGAAAAAAGCAAACATTCTGGGATGCATTAGCAGGAGTGTTGTAAGCAGGACACAAGAAGTCATTCTTCTACTCTGCACTGATTAGGCCTCAACTGGAGTAGTGTGTCCAGCTCTGACCACCACATTTCTGAAAGATGTGGACAAAGTGGTAAAAGTCCAGAGAAGAGAAACAAAAATGATTAAAGGTCTAGAAAACAAGACTTATGAGGGAAGACTGAAATAACTGGACCTTAGTCTAGACAAGAGAAAACAGAGGGGACATAACAGTTTTTGGAGCTCAGTGGTGGTCTACTGGAGAAGGCAGTCACGTTCAAATGACCCCCCTGCCTCTGTACTTCCTGCCGCCTGTCGGGGATTTCAGAGTTGTTTGCAGGAAGAGCGCACCACCTATGAGATGGCTGCCTGGACCCCCATCCTCCTTGGATTAGTTGCACCCTCACTGATCCTTCACAGATTAACAGGATAGCGATGGATATATTTGCTAATGCTTTACCCCTCTATGGCAGCTGTGGCCCTGGACTCTGCTCCTCGCTGATAGCACCAGGAAGACTTTAGGTTACCTACAGTTTCCTAAACTATGGATGACAGCACTTGCTGATTATTTGCAGAGCTGGCCGGCCCAAGGTGAAAGCTCTCCTTTTCAGCTACAGCGCTGAGATGAATGACAGCTAAAGATATATTTCCACATCAAGCACAGTCCTAGCTAAAAGGTTGTGTGCGCATGAATACAACATAAGTGTACATAAATCATATTGCATTAGTATGGTAGGCAATACTGTGAAAGGGTTTCCTCTCTGATATGGGGGCAGAGTTAATTCCTGATTTGAAAAGAGGCCTCCCACAACTCTTTCTGCTAATTCCTCTCTTCTCTCATCCCCACAAACTTGATACTATAAATATACATTTGTTGACAATTACCCTTATTTTAAAAGAAAAAAGTGCACCAAAGAAAAATTGAGCAACTACCATTTCAGGGTCTGTCCTCAGCCGTAAATTGTTTAAATCCTTAACATAGATATTTAATTTATATATACAGCTTCTAGTCTTGAACACTTACCATAATGTAACATCCACTCACTGAAGCAGGAGCATAAGGCTGTCCAGAATATGCCTTTTAGATCACCCTGTGTTCTTCATCTTGCATGAGGCCTCATTGCTTTACATAGAGTCCACCCTTGTGCTTGTTACAGATTGACTCGTTTCCTATTCATGGAGGTAATTTGCATGCCTACTGAGGGACTGGAGATACAATTACTGCCTCTTACCTTAGCAGAGGGAAATGCTTGTGACAAGCTTTCCTATTCTCCCCCACCGCTGTTCAACACCTGCACGTGATGGAACAATCAACAGCCACACACATTTGATCGAATACTGGTTCCCACCCCTTGCTGTCCTGCACACTGCACCCTCTCTATAATGCAAACGGTCTTGTAGCTAACTTGATCCCAGATATGAGACTAGTTGGGTGAGTTAATATTTTTTATGTGACCAGCTTCTGTTGGTGAGAAACAAACCTTCTTTAGATCTGGAAAACAATCTGAGTGTCACAGCTAACTACAAGGTGGAACAGACTGTTTAGCATAAGTATTTAATGGAATTCAACAGAGCATTCAAGGTCAGGTGACTAACACCTGTCCAGTCACAGGGGGGTTAAAAAAAAGGAGGAAAAAAAGCTGAGTGGGGGTTTAGTGGGTTGCAGATTGTGGTAATAAGCCATAAATACAGGAAGTTGATTGGCACAGTCAATTTTACAGGCCATCTTCAAGAAGAATTTCTGGACAAATGTACCAAAAAAATCTCTGATATACCTGATATGAATTTGTATTTTCATCCTTTGGACAGAATTTCCAACACAACTTCAACCACCACCACTGCTCACCCATTAAATTATCTAGAACACTTCAACATCATCAACTTCCTGGATCAGCTTCATCAATGGAACCCTAAAGACAACTATACACAAGAAGCCCACAAATCACACTCTCTCTATAGTGATCCTGTAATCACCCCAACAAATCCATACATCAGTTATCAAAAACCAGACACACAGATACCACAGAATATGCTCTGAGGAGAAAGTCTGGGATACACACCTTAATATTCTCAAAATTGCCTCTACTTCTCTGATGGAGTATCTTTGTTTAGTGGACAGCATCTTGGAACAGGCCACCAAGTTACCCCAAGAGAACCTGCTTCAATATGGAATTAAATCCCCTCTGATCGCACTCTCCTAGTTGTCTCCTACCATCTCATACGGGAACTCGTACAGGATATCATTAAACTACAACACATACTGAATGGTTACCACATCCTGAAATAAATCTTTCATGAACCCCCACTTCTAGCCTTCAGAAAACCCTGCATCCTCTCCAAACTCATCATTAGAAGCTTCCCACAGATCAGATCACACCCACACAAAGCAACAGCAGTAGACCCTACCAAAACAGGTGAAAAACCTAGGTCTTAACATTCCCCCAAAACACACCTTTCAAGATTCTTGGGCCTTACACACATCATGGCTTAATCTTTGCTAGACACTAAACATCATGGACTGTATAAAGAAATTGCATTTATGGGTTATCGCAACCATCTATAACTCACTAATGCCCCCCCCCCCCATACTCCAAGTGGCTAGAAAGGTGTTAAACTGACCACTTCATCTTGAATGGTCCCTTGAAATGTGTTAATTACTTACGTTAAACAATCAGTTCCACACCTTGTATTTAGCTCTAAGTTTCCAAGACCCAAAGAAGAACTCTATGTAAGCTCAAAAGCTTGCACCTCTCACCAGTGGAATCTGGTCCAATAATAGGTATTACCTCACCCAACTAGCCCCTCTCTATACTGACAGGTTTGTTTTTAAATGCAATGAACTCAACTGAACTCCTCTCTGTAAAGTTATCTTCTGTCTTGCTGCAGCTACCATGCTATTCTACCACCAGACCGACTCTCCAACCCCCTTGATTGGGCTGCATTTAATGAGGAGCTACCACCCTATTTTCTGATTTCAGTGCTCAATACAATGAATGCTGTTTGACTGAACTTGGTGCATACAAGAAAACACCCAATACAGCCTTTACTCTGGGGTTTAGTTACCTATACCAACAACTCTATTTACAAGATTACAGTGTGCCAGATCTAATAGCGAATACTGGGTTAGCCTTTTACAAGTGCTTATTGTTAACATACCTGTTCTGTTTATGACTAGGTCAGGTCTCACCTTCTCCTGAATTAAATGCTAGTAATCTGTATATCGGACACAAATTGCAAAAGGACAACATAGCCTTTCTCTTTAATAATTATACCGTAAACAGAAGCAAACAGCTTTATTACATTTCTAATAAGCATTTTAACTGATATGGGAAAAATAGATGCAACGGTAAAATGTCCCTATTAATATTTAAAGAGTGACAAAAAATTCTTCACCCTTCATTGTAAAATAGCAAATTGACTAAAACAAAAACTAACCTTTAGCTATGCTACTGCCAAGTTTCTCAACACTTGAACTGTTCATGCCTATCTTGTTCATGAAAGGACCTGCTGATTTGTCAAATTTTGGTTGGAAACTTTATTGGAAAATGCCAACCTTTCCCAAAACTCCAGGAAATAAAAAAAGCATCTTGTAAATGACTGTGCTTACAGCCACATTGGGGGGAAAAATAGGCTCAAGATTTGTATCTAGCTCAAGATTCCTCAGAAGAAAACCTTTATTTTTGGAAGTACTATGTACACAAAGCCACATTTAATGTACAGTCAGAAAATTACCAACATGTCTCAAACTTAGAACAGAAAGTATATGAGAGTACTTAATTGACCCACGCAAACACTTCAAACTGAAATTAGTCTGTATCTGAAATTCGTTTTAAAGTAATTACCAGTAAATTTTAAAATTCAACTTCTACTGTTTGCAGTGATGTTGCTAAAAGTAATGGCATACCATCAACAGTGATACCTTTAGCAAGAAGGCTACCAGGAGTAGGCTAAGTAATTGCTAGCTGTAATTCTACTTTGCCAGAAGAATTCTGAAAGTTATTCTTTAAATGGCAAAAGCCAGAACAGGTAGTCTTAAAATGAATACACGAGGTGAACAAATGTTTAAACTTAAGAGGTACTTTTCCATGTCCAAAAGCTCAGCCACAAATATTTGAACATCTTACAAAACCAGAAAGCAATGCTATGTAAGGATCCTAATCCAGTATCATTAAGAAATGACTTCCAGAGACACTCAACATCAAACTTGTTAGTAGAAACTAAAATTAAGTTAAACCATCTTGAGTACTTCCTGAATTACTGGTATTCTTGTAGGATCAGCAAACTACAGAAGAAAACAAGAGTTGAACTCCCAAGAGGCCCAGTCTTCCTCTGTTTGTGTTTATGATAGTCCTGGCTCCTTGGTGCTTTTGTTCAAGAAATAGAAGTAAATATCCAACAATTCTTTGCTCCTATGAGATTCTTATCAAGATTCTTTTTGCCTCAGTGAACTTGCTTAGCCTCATTCTTACAGCAAGATTCTTCCTCCCAACGTCATAGGCTGAAACTCTTGAGGACACAACAAGGTAAGATGGCAGGAGCAATGCTGAAACTGTTCGAACCCACCCTCAATTAGGGTATATGCAAGGGAAAAAAATTTTCTGGTGAGGAAGAAAAGCTGGATGATTGATCAATATCACCTTGTGCGATTTGATGGGCAAGCTAATACAAGGCACCAGTAAGGGAGGAAAGTTACAGTCCAAAACTCAAAAGTATTCAGGAAATAGATAAAAGCCAAAAATGTAATGAGGTGGGAGGAGTACTACTAAATATGTGAGATTAAAGTCAACTGAACTGACAGGGCAAAGGTCACAGAACACAGGCTATTTCTGATGTAAGTTTTACATTAATAAGGAATGTAAATACGAATTGTGTAGCATCCTCTCCCCCAATTCTTTGTATGTTGTCCTGTTAAATTGACTTCTTCAGCCCAACAATTTGTTTTATCTGTAGCAAGTTAAACACAATTTGGGTCCTGTATCGGTAATATAGGAGATGACAAAGGACCAGAAAAGGTTTCTGAACTTTGAAGTCAGCAGCTATTTTTAAGCTACAGGAGGAAGATGCCACTGTAGCAATGGAGATTCAGCCTGCTCAGAATTCTTACACTGAGTCTTGTCTCTGACCAACTCCATTTAGACTTCAGAGGAAGAGATTATTTTCT